GCTCATCACTTCTCTGAACAGTGGCACCAACATGTCTCGGTTCAGTGAACTGTTGGAGTTACTGGAGTAAAATATAATTCAGGATATTGATTTATTTCGATTCGGAGGCGACTGTCAGGCTTGTCTGAAAGTGAGTAACTTTAGTAACTTGTGGATCAGCAGCACTGACGCAAGACGCGAACTGTTTCGAACGATTCAGTTCGATTTAGTGTACTGGTTCGACCGGTTCACTAAAAAGAACCGGTTCAAAAGAACGATTCGTTCACGAACCGGCCATGTCTACGATCACTACAGTCTGCAGAGAGATGGAGGCGGCAAGAGAAAAGGTGAAGACTGGGGAGTGGAAGCAGCGCAAATACACAAATAGAAAGAGTAAAAGTGCGGGAGACATTTGCTGAAATAATGAAGATGATGACCAAAGTGCTGGCTTTGCCTTTGTTATGTGTAGGCCTACGTCTTCTTGCGACGCTGTGTTGTTATACGTCTATGGCCCAATAACGCTCCGATGAGCATTTACTACTTTAAAAAAATGCGGTCAGGAAGCGGGTCGGGTACAATATTTTTTTTACTTTTTTTTGCGGTCCGAGTTGCGGGCGGGTAGTTGAAAACGTCGGTCGGTTGCGGGTTGTTTATAAATTGACCCGCGCATCACTGGTAGCTATCGCACACTAGACGCGCACTTTCTCATCAGTGTTTGGCGAGCAATATTGCTATGTTTAATGACATGAAATGAAGATAATGTCTGTTCTATGTTATGATTGTACTGTACAATTAAATACAATCGTTGCTGAGTCTGCAGTCTGAACACTTTACCTCAGAGCATCCGTTAACTGAATGAATTGAGAATCTCACCTGAAAAATCCAATAACATCAGCAATTGTCATTCAAGCAGCATACATTAGTAACGATTTGAGACAAAAATAATTTAAATTTTATATAAAACTATGTAAATGGCGCTATGTGGCGCAGCAGGATTTTGAACATGGTCCTGAGCCGTTGCTGGGCGCCGCAGACAGTCACAGATGCCAAATGGCGCCGCCGGTGTGTGTACATTCATAGAGAATAATGTGTTCGAATTTTACAGATGTGGTGCTGAGCTTCTCGTCTGGTGTGCGACGCTCTTATAGACTCTCCGCCGAAACCCCCGTTTCACTGTTGCTCACACGGCGGTCCTGCTTGACGCTTATGCACGGCTACTGCTCGGGGTGTGAATGAACGCACTCATTGATTAACATGCACGACGAAAAAATACCCCGCTGCTCACGCGCCGAACTTGTAAAAACACAGTTCACAACTGCATGGTTCTTGTCGATATCGTTAGTGCTCTCTTTACTCTGGAAACCAAAATGATTCCACACTTCCAAACGGAATAGAGCGGGAGCCGGTCTTTACACGGGGTTAGCTATGTTGTTTCTAGCAAACCGTTAGGCTAGTGGTGCGTCTATGCATAAAATTTTTTTTTTTTTAAAAATCGATATTTCGTTTCTGAAAATCGATACAGTATTGCAAAATAAAATATCTCGATACTCAAGTGTATCGATTTTTTCTTACACCCCTAATTTTTATGCTCTGACTGTGTGAGACGTACAAGCTCAGACAGATTCGGCTTAAAGTCGTTCATCCTCGGACGCGGCGCGCGCTGTCAAAAAAAAAAAGCTAAACACAGCCATGCGAAACGTGGTCTTGCACACCCAACGTGTCATTTTTGCCGCGCATCGCATCGAGTATAAAGGCTTTACTCCGTGTCAGCGCCCACTCTGATCCGGTGCACAGACCTCTTCCAATCATCTCCAGGACTCAAATTATTGAGTAAAGGCCATTGCACACTGAGTCCGAAATTTCCGTATGCATTTTTTCGTGTTCGTCAGCCTAAAAATTCGGCATGCACGGAAACCTTGCACACCGAGTCCGATGCGTATTTATTAAACCTTTGCGGGGAAAAAACATAAAATACAAAATGGATTCGTCAAGCAGTGAGGATGATTTTGTTGCCCTCTCTTTTATTGAAGAGAGAAGAAAGAGAAAATATAGACCCCTTTTGCGCCGACGTCACAGTTACGTCACGGCGCTAGCTGGAGGCAAAACAACGTGAAAACGGGAGACGGCCAATGCAAACCAGCACAGATTCGGCTACATTATAAGGAGCTTAAATTACTTTTATTATTTTTAAATGTCATCTTATTGTGTTGTTTGGTGCAAGTATCAATGAAAAATGAATATGCTGTATCTGGACTATTTATTTCTAGAAAATATTCACATGATTAAAATCGCACCGTAATGAAACTCTTTACATTGTCGTCTTTTCTGCGCTGGCTCGGCAGAACTGCGGATCGTACACACAAGTCTTGTACAGGACCATATAGGCATCTAAAGATTTATATGCCCTCAGTTTCTCTTTACGATCGGTTTCTCTATAAGGTAGGTGTAGAAGTCAGGCCACTCAACCGAGGTAACGTAACGTTAATCTGTCAGATCGTCCATGCATTGAGTGAGCGTGTAGGCGGCTACGGGTCGGCCAATCTGGTTATGTCCGTTAAGATTAACTTTTGAAAATAAAATTCGTTGTCCTGGACAGTGAGTGACCTTACACATTAAGATAAAATCAGATTTTCTCCAGTCATTGTTAAAGAAACAAGCTAATAAAACTTGCCAACTAGCATTAGTGAAGCAGCCAAAGGGATCGTTCTGCCTCCACCTAAGCTCCTCCCACATAAAAACGTCACCATGTTTACTAGGGCTGAACGATTAATTGCATTTGCGATAAAATCGCGATATGATGAAACGCGATTTTGTAATCGCAAGAGCTGCGATTACACTGGTCACGTGACACGCGAGAGAAAAAGCGGTCTGCAAGATCAAGCATCAACTTGCCATGCTAAGCGGTCTGGCGTTCAGAAAAGAACAGTTTATTTTTAATGTATGCGATATTGTGTCATTTATTCTCTCCCCAACAATCCTGGATCGATTCAGAGAATTTCAGAATCGAGTATGAGCTTATAGTTTTTAAACACAGATGCGTGATGACGCTGCGCGTGCTTCAGAAAAGAACCGTGTTCTGCTTGCTTCTATTTTCTCTCTCGCTCGCTCGCTCTCTCTCTCTTCCTCACTCACACACACACACGACACCGCTAGAACCTTCCGAAACATAGTAACGTTATTTCATAAAGTTCGGGGTTGAACCGAATTACAAGGACATTCGCGGGCTTCATTGAACCGGTTTTGCCGCTTTGCTTGATGTTATAACGTTACTCTTGCAGTGCGCGTTCTCTCTCTCCTGCGGGAATTTTCCTTACAAATGCTTCACAGAGGCATTATTTATGTCTTTAAGAATGCAGTTGGCTTATATATTAAAACTATGAAAATCACTGAGAAGGCTGCTTTCATTTTAAAATACTAACGCGTGCTTTGTGAAGAGCGCTCGTGCATGCGGCCGTGAGCGACTCATTGGTTAAATGTGCATAAACCACATGCATGCCAAAATGCTTTTATGACGCGAAATTAATGTAAACACGGTCAGTTATATCTTAAACCAACAGGACAAACCACATTTACAATTTCAAAAGAGATATATGCATTAGTGTGAATGCAGCTTATCGTATCTAAACTGAGGGGGAAATCACTCCAGCTCTTGAATGAAAAACATTCAGACAGCCTACTTTTAAATACTGAGACCACTCTTTGTTTATTGCTTGTAATGTTTTTTTTTTGTTTCTCTTTATTTACTAGATTTTATAATTTGAAGCTATATTATTTTATATAGGCTATTTAAAATTCTTAACATGTAATTGGTTTAATTAAATGTTTTTTATATGTATTTATTTTTTAAAGTATGTCTTTTTACACATGTAATTAAATACATATTTTAAGTGTTATTAAGATTAATTAATAAGAAAAAAAGTAGATCAGATCATGAGCTACCTAAAGATTCCCATGTACAATGATTTATTGCTTGTCTTTGTCCACTAATACAGAAGGTAAAAAACTTTAATTTTTTTTTTTAAATCGCATATTAAATCGCAATCGCAATATTGGTTAAAAAAAATCGCAATTAGATTATTTTCCATAATCGTTCAGCCCTAATGTTTAGACCAACTGAAAAGGGGTCTATTGGGTCCATTCAATCCTGAAATTGCGCCGAGGAAGGAGAGTTCCACCTCCTAATCAAGGAGTTGCGAATTTATCCCGAGATATTCAAAATTTACTTCAGAATGTCAGTGGGACAGTTTGATGCTTTGCTAGCGATTCTGGAGCCACATATTAAAAACAAGACCACCAATTTCCGTGAACCAATCGATCCTGAACAGAGACTGGCAGTATGTCTTAGGTATCTTTGCACACACACTGGCACACACTGAGAGTTTGAACTTATCCTCTTTCAGCCTCAACTGAGGGAACAGAGCCCCTAGCCTTTCCACTGTAAAGTCAAACAAGTGTTTGACTGAACATTGCAGATTTAAGCAAGTATTAAAGCATTCCAGTAGATCAAACAGTAGAGCGTTGGCACAAGTTGCAAGACCAAGGTCATGGGGTTTGATTCCCAGGGAAAGCATGAACTGATAAGAATGTAAAATGTGTACCTTGAAATGCAATGCAAGTCAATTTGGATAAAAGCATCTGCCAATTGCATAAATGTAAAAAAAATTAAGCATACTGTGCCAGGTATTTGTTTGGTTATCAAAAGGGAACTGTCCCCCTTTGAGATAAATTGTTTGTAAAAATGAGCAATATTAATAAAATTGCCTTGCCTAACATTTGCAGCTGGACTACTTCCTGAACTTAAGCCAGCTTCTTTATTTCCTGTCTTACATTATTGGACAAACTGATTAATCCAGGTGTGTCTGGCCATTACTAGGGTAAGTAGTGGAGCCTATTGGAAACTGTTTCTATCATCTACCTGTAAGATGATACCTTCCAGGGGAGTTATGTTCAGATGTGCTGCAGGGTCCGGTACTTTCAGGTCCCTCAGGAGTGGATGGTCGAGGGGAAAAGAGGAGAACATTGCCTCATAGAAGCTTCTCACAGTTCTACAACAGCATAAGTGTGAAAAAATACATTATAGGTAATATTTTTAGGCACACTACAGCCTATACTCTCTTACTGTCCACGGGTGATATTATAAAATAACTACCGGGTAATATACTCACTGAAAGATTTTCTTCTCGGCTGACACAGGGAGCTCAGCGCTTCTCATGAAGATCTCTTTGTCGGAGCAGACACAAAGAATTTCATCAGCCAACTGATGTCCATCTCTATACTCCACCTCTTTGTAGACTTCACATCATTTTGCACTGAGAGATAGAAAATTACTCTGTTAGTGGTTGGAATTGTGAGCGAGTGTGCGTATGTAAAGAATATAAACTGCAGGACTATTAGGCTACCTTGTTCATGAGTTGGCCACATGCAATGTTGTTACATAGACATCATTTGAATTGAATTGAATTATAGGAGGCCTATATGTATGCAGGGCTGCTCTGATGGTCAGCTGTACCAGGTGGCAGATGCAGCCAAGGTCCTGGATGTGGGGCTGGCTGGTCTTCGGTCAGCTGATGACCGAGTTATGGCGGCCTTTCATAACACTCACATTATCAGAGTTAAAGGCTATGCCCCTTTTTCTATTGGAAACAGGAAAAAAATGCCCAAATATTAGAGCCAGACCGATATATCGGCAGGCTTATATTATCGGCCGATATTAGGCATTTTCCAAACTATCGGTATCTGCATTTATAATGGCCGATAAATGAATATTTCAAAAATAAAATAAAAACGCACGAAACACGCTTGAACCATCTCATAAGAGTTGGAGTTGTATAGTTTGTCCACCAGAGGGCACTCTACACTCGTTGAGTTGGTCACGATATATACATTTCTTGAATAGCAATTAAAAGATCATCCCCATCAGTTCTCTTAACTCAAATAAGCAGGACACAATTTGTGACTATCGTGTCCAGTTTTGCTGCTGTTAAATAAGCCGAGAGTGAAGCGGAATTAGCTAGTAATATTTACGTTACGTTGTTACAGTGTAGTGGACTGACTGTCCTTTTAACTTTTGACAATGTGAGTGACGTATTTCTTTAATAGCGCGTGACAGTTATAGCAATGATGAGACATATCATCTCTCCTTGGCCTGTTATATGAAAATGTATGTTTTACAATTTGCAGTATGACGTTATCCATTGCTAAATTATAGACTAGCTAACCATAAAGCTAGCTAATGCCACTATCATCAGTCTGTTCTGTTGTGACAATAAAAGAAACAAGTTTCTTTTTAAAATGCATCATCATATTATTTTAGTTAAAACTCATAAATAACTACAAACAACTAATGTTAGGGAAATCTGTTAATGTTTTGTTGCGCGTTTCTGAAAAAATAAATAAATAAATATCGGCTGATATATCGGAATATCGGATTTTAAAACCCAAAAATATTTGTATCGGCATCGGCCTTCAAAATCCTTTATCGGTCGGGCTCTACCAAATACATCTTAGACAAAATGTAAGGTTGTAATTAAATGCAATCTACTAAATATGTCAACAACACAGTGAAGTGCCTCTTACCTCACGACTTGAGAGTGAGTGTCCTCATCGTAGAGTCTAGAAAGGATGACGAATTCTTTGCCTGTTTTTCTGTTGTTCGATTCGTCGCACATCAGTGAAAATGGTTCAGCTAGTTCTGCTGCTGTGGCACCTGTTGAGTGTCCAGTAAATAACTAGTAAGTTAGCCTACAACATGCATTAATGCTGAATTAATGCTGAAATGTTAGAATATTCAAACACATTTTAAACCGTTTTAGCAAACGTACAGTATACAGCCCAGCAGTAAGAAATATAGCTAGGTAGATATATGGCTTGCTAACTTACCTTTGATTATTTGAGTAGCCTTCGTTTTTCCCGTTGAGTATTTTCGCGCAACAGCAGAGGGAATATATCAGCTACACACTTGTTGAAGTCATCGTGGAAGGAGAAAGGATTGTTGTTTTTGCCACACAGCATTGCCATTTTTACCTCGTCACGTTATTTCTCGTCACGAATGCTGACATCGGCTGGGCATGATTTTGTGCCTCTAGCCCGCGCTTGGGCTTGGTGGATTTCTCGTGCTGACACACATCATTCCTTCCCCCGTGTGAGATGCTAAAGTCGCAGTTAAAAAACTTGTAAAACGCGTGACTGTCCCCCATCCTGCTCTTCTTCAGAAAAGTAAATTCACCATCCCTTTGATCGCCGTATTTACAAGACGGTTTTGTTTTTTTGGCAGGCGTGCCTTCCGTCTCTGTCCTAGCATCCATCATTCGTCTGTTAATTTTTTGTTTTGTTTATTTCCTGCGTTGTCACTCATCATCTGACCTCACACACTAACCTCGCAACAACTGCCACCTAGTAGGCCGTTATTGTGAGACTAGTGACGGAGCTCAGATGGGAATGTTTTTTTTTTTTTCCTCCAACTGGGGTATAATAATTTTTTTTATAACGCAGGTTAAAATATGGGAGATTTACGGGAAAAAACTAAGAGGACGGCGGGAAAGAAGGGTAAAATACGGGACTTTCCCAGCCAAAATGGGATTAAAAAAAAGCCTTTTGGGGGTGCTTAAATATATTTTAGAAAAACATATTTTGCCTGTCAATTCCCCAGATTGGGTTCTCTGAGAATATGCATTTCCAATTTAAATATTGTTGTTGAAGTTTTTTTTTCGAAGACATTTCACCTGTCATTATGAGTTCAAATGTCACATCGATTATGCTGGAATTACCCTTTAGTTTCTGTACTCAGTGGTTTTCAGCGAATGCTTGTGCACTAATGCATCATTTTTCCTGTCATTTTAATCAAGCCTGTTAGCTTGATGCGCAAGTTACCTCTATTCCAATCTCTTTTTATAGCATTTGTCTTAAGTTTTAATTGTTTTTCAAACGCGATCTACTGCGGCTCTACTTTCAAACGCTTGTTTTCAGTCTTTCTATATTTATTTTATCAATTTATCCTTAGAATTAAATTAATTTTAAATAAGAATTAATTGAATTATATATTTGAGATGTTTTTAGTTTATATCTTCACATCTGAACAACATATCTGTGTAAATTTGCTGTGTAAATTCCAACATATGTTTGGATATATATATATATATATATATATATATATATATATATATATAAAGGCTTTGACATTACGTACAACTCTAAGAAGAGTAATATAATGATTGTTAGAAGCAGGGAGGATAGTAAACTCTTATAAACTATCTTATAAACTCTATCTTATAAACTCCTATATTTTATCTGTCTGGTACTTTACTTAATGTGTGTGATGAGGTCAAGTACTTGGGAGATTATATCACTGATGACCTGTCTGATGATAGGGACATTCATAGACAGTATTGTATGATATATGCACAAGCTAATATGCTGAATTGCAAATTTAGTATGTGTTCACTTTTTGTGAAGATTAGACTTTTCAAAGCTTTTTGTACCCCGATGTACACTGCCCACTTGTGGCGGCGCTATAAAAAAGTAGTCTGCAGAAACTCAAGGTGGCCTATGATGATGGGTTGAGGTTGCTGCTTAAATTGCCACGAGGGGGCAGTGCGAGTCAAATGTGTGTGAGTGTTAATGTATCCACATGTCCTGCTGTACTCAGGAATCTCATGTACAGATGTATGTGTAGACTAGCGGAGTCACATAACAGCATCATCAAAACACTAGTGAATCCGGCATTGAGTGCTGTTAGGTTCACTTCGGGTTTGTGGAATCACTGCCGTTTTAGTTTGTATGCCAATATCTGAACACTTTTTTGTGAGTATTGTAGAATATTGACTGTGTAGTCATTTTATACAACTCTTTTTTCTTTTCTTTTTTTCTTTTTCTTCTTTTTTAATGTACTTTGTAATAGTATGGTATACGTATAGTGCTATGGACCATTTTGTGTGTGTGTCCTGAATAAAGACGTGATGATGATGACGATGATATATATATATATATATATATATATATATATATATATATATATATATCATTAATTATGATTGTACACTTGCCATCAGCACTTATCATTAAAAACAATGCGAAAATTGAAATTAGCCAAACTCAATGTGTGGCTTTTGTACTTTTTTAAGTACACTTTTACACAGAAATACCCTCGTGGCGAGCAGGACAAGGCCGAGGGAGATGAGAGAGCGCCGCAAGGCCGGTGGCGTGAGTGATAATGAACGACACCTGTGAGACGCACCTCGCTTCTCTCAAGTTCCTCGGCCTCGTCCTGCTCGCCACAACCCCGATTTAGGGTTTTATTTAGTTATAATAAACAAAAAAAAATATCCGATTAATCGATTAGCAAAATAATCGTTAGTTGCAGCCCTAATACACACATCTACATGTAGGCTACATGCAGTAATATAATAAAGTTTATGATTAATTATAAAGTGTTTGTTTAATTACAAGTTAATTAGAATTGTAATAGCTATAAACTATTTTTAAGTTTTGTAATATGCAGTGAAAAGCTACAGAAATGAACAAACTTGTTTAAAAACAGACAGAGAGCAGTTTTACTCACCAAACATACCTTTTTTTTAGTTATGACTCTTAAACTTTAACATACTACTGTGGTAAAAAAAAAAAAAAAATGTAAAAGTGCTCTCTTTGGTTAGAATTAATCACGATGACGCCATCTACTGTTTTACTCATATTTTTTTTCTTTTGACATTTCAGAAATATAATATTATTAAAAAAAAATGTAATTCATCATGTATTTATTAGTATTCTTTTACTTCGATTTTAATAAACACATCACTGATGAATACCAAAACAAACCAGCCAACGATCAACCATTTGCATTTTTTTGTGACAAACAAGTCTTATAGATTAACACTTTCTATGAAGTCCAAGATTCTTATAATGAATTATAGCTCCATTTATACTTATTTATGAGCAAGTAGTTCTATTCTATGATATTTATAAAGACTCATTAAGACTACATATAGACTGCATTGTAAGAACAGATATAGTTACATTAATATTTTTTATAATTCTTTATAAATCAATCATTTTTGAATATGCATACTCATAATCCATTACACACACATTTATAAGTTTTAGTTAGTCAGTCATATGGTTCCATTAATGTATAAAGGTGGAACCTGCATTGCTATAATGTTATTTTATTTATGAATGTATTATTATACATGAGTGATGTGATTTGTTGAGGTCTAATAGTGTTTAAACTACTGTAAAATGATCTGTCTGCCTTTATCAGTCTGTCTGGGAACAGCTGCTAGCAACAAACAGGTAAAGAAAGCACTTGTCTTGCTAGGACTTTAACAGTAAGCCAACAGGCAACATGTCCACACATGGGGTCCCAAAGGGTCTGCCCTTGCCCCCACTGTCTCACAGAAAACCCACACTTACCCACCACAGCGGGCCGCACTGGCATGTTTGCTGGGATATCTGCAGTTTATAATGACTGGACAGGAATGAATGCATCTTTAACACACCCTCGGTTCTGTGGTCTGTGAGGAGTGTAAGAAAAGAGAAAAGTGAACCCCTGCCACCATTAACACTTATGCACCTGATCACATCGCAACACATATAAAATTTTAGACTTAAAAAAGACAATATATTCTTTACAAACTCAACTGCATGATGTTGATAAACATCATCCACCATTTT